TTTTCTGATGTTTTCAGATTGTTGGATGAAAGGATAGTTCTTAATCACAGCAATCTACACCACCCATAGTTAGATTGTAGTCAGAAACAATCTTTGGCTTGAGTATATCTTCATTTTTAAAAAAAAATCTTCATTTTTTTTAATTTTGAGGCTGATCATGGAAGTATCATGATACTGCTCATCAGACACACCATCCTTCATCTTCGGTTGAAGAATCTAAATCATCTATATAACGTTTCAAAGAACTGGACGCCATTTTACAACAAAAAGATCCCGTGCACTTTGAACCAAAGAACTTATAACCTCTAACCTTTGAAGTCTTCAGTAAAGTGCTGTTATCTATTGAATTGAGCGCACATTAACTTTTCCCGAGATACAGTCGGGTTTCACAAAGAAATGAAGCCGAAATAAACATCTCCCGATATATATTCGGGTATAACAATATGATGCACTCAAAAAAAATTACCCCGAGTAATACTCGGGCGTGACATTTTCGAACACCAATGCTGTGCCCGAGATTATCTCGAGCATGACAGTTAAAAGGTTAACACAAAAGACAAAAATGATATCATTGCAGATTAAAGTGAAGAGCGACTTTTTTTAGACTATATGGTTGCATAAATTTAAATTACGTTATAGAACATCATATCGTATCATAAATGAAGAATCCTGTGATTTTCTCAGTCGAATTGTTTGAAAATTCAGGAGTTTATCCAGTGATGTATGTGGATGTCACCTAAAGATTTTTTTTTTTTTTCCTCCTGATGAAACAGCGGTCGCTGAACACTGGTATTTGGGTCCGAGGTTCGAATCCCGCGAATAGGCTGGCTGCATGGGCGGTTTCCTGGTTTTCCCCATGTGTAACGTGTATGCGAGCCAGTTTTCCTTAGAAAGTCCTCCCCTTAGGCAGATATCCCTAGTGTGCTTTGTCATAATTAAATAAACCAAAACCTCTTGAGGAAACCAGTCTTTCCTTTCATCTCATACCTTCAAAATGTTTAGCCTCTAAAGACTGATAAAGACTTCGTGAAGAACTTTCTAAAGGAAACCAGCTCGCATACACGGTACACATGAAAAGATCCACGAAAACGCCCATGCAACCAGCCCGTTTACTGGGATTCGAACCCCGGAGTGAACTATCGTGTTCAGCTACTTTACCGCTCGGCCGTTTGTGGGCCTTTATGAAATGGAAGGCGATAACTTTATTTAAAATGATTGTCAGAAATAACTATGACAAAAATATATTTAAAAAAGTTGGATGCTTTTTTATACTTGCAGAATGCCTAAGAAAAAGAGCAAAATAATAGAATCCTGAAGAAAAAGAGAAGAAAAAATAAATTTTGCGTAAAATTTAGTATTGTATTTGTATTTTTTTTTTTTTTTTTTTTCAAATTAAAAAACCTTTTAATCTTATGATATTTGATTCTTGGATTTAAAAAATAAAATATTTGACTAAAATATGAATACCATTTTTAAAACCAAATGTAGGATAAATTGTATAAAGCATGGCACAATGATAAAACTGTTTAAAGCAGTGTGTGCAAGTCATCCTAAGTTAAAATGTCGTTATACATCATCTCTCTTATTTATATATCTTTTCTGAATGGAACATTGAAAGGCGTGTAACTGTACTTTACTGTATTTTCTCTTTTATATATGTAGTTTTCAAACGCACTGTAGTCTGGGTTGCAAAGTATTCTCCGAAAGAAGCATTCAATAAATAAATCAAATTTCGAAATTTGTATTAATAAATATATTAAATGCTCAGTTCGAAGGAATAATAGAAAATTTTAAAACAATTATCTGACAGACAATGCAACAAAAACAATTAAAATAAAAGTATAAACATTTAAAATTACCTAAAATAATTATGACAAAAAATATATATATAAAGAAACTATTTGAAAAAAAAATAACGCGGCACCTTTATTTACGCAGTTCGAATATGTAAATAGAATTTTAAAACAGTTTTCGAAAGAACCATCAACTTAAGCAATTAAAATGAAATTCGAAAAAAAATTACTTACTTAAGATAATAACATTATAATAAAAATATAATATAAAGAATTATTTGAAAAAGGACAATGGTGACTTTTTCCCCTCTCATGGGAAAGGAACTAATTGCCATACATTAAGAAGTTCGCAAGTGCTATTCTTGGCGCAAACTGAAAAAAAATTGCGAACATAAATTTGTGAATTTCTCCGTAAATTTTGCTCCAAATACAAAATTTCATATTTAGGCGTAATTTGAGTTGTAGAATCAAAATATGTAAAAAAATGGTATGTTATTTCAGAAAAAGTCCGATTTTGTGTCAAAATATGTATGTTAGATTAGTGCTATATATAAATCTAATATATATCCTAAGTAGCGCTTTCGAGACATGAAGAACGCATTTGAATTTTGTAGATCGGCCCAGTAAAACAGGAGATATAGAACTGTCCCTTTTTTTTTTTTTTTTTTTTTTTTTTTAGCAGTGTACATTGACTTACTGTGCCATAACTTGTAACAAAAATTGAGCTTAGGAACATTATTCATGTTTCAACAGGACATTGACCCCAAGCATATAGCGAACCTCATCCGGGAGTGGTTACTCTATAATACTCTTTGCCAGTTAAAGACACCGCCTAAATCATCTGACATAATAAGTTGAAAATTTATGTTACAAATTGAACCTAGAAGTCAGAAAACATACAATTTTGTGTAAAGATAAACTTAAGCGTATACTTCTGCAAGAATGACACAAAATTCCGAATAGCACAATTAAGACACAGTTTTTCTCTATGAGAAACAGATTACAAGCTGTTCTAAATGCAAAAGGTATGACTACGAAGTATTAAATTTTGTTCCCACATTTAGCTGTATGATCTTGCCAATACTTTTTTGACATGCAAATTTACATTTTTGTTGTATATTTTGTGTAAAAGGCATATTGAAATGAAAGTTTCGTTAGGTTTGTGTGTTGATTACCTCCTGTATCCAAAATGTCCAGCTAAAAGGTTAGAGTAGATTTTAAGGTACCCCTTGTATTATGGTGAAGTTTTTGTTTGATTTATCGCCAGTTGTGTTTCATTTATGGAGCCTGAGTAGTTGCATGTTATGGAAACCCTATTGTGACGTAATCGGGTGCATGATTCTGGGAAATTTTTAATCATGGGATGTTTTGTAAGTGATTTTGTGTTGTGTGTTAAGCTGTTTAAATGGATTTGAATGGGTTTTAAGAAGAAAGGTCAGATGTCACTATGTGAAGCGTTCGATCAGAAAGAGTACCTGTTTGAAAAAAGTCATTTGAGTATGATTGATATTTTGATTTTTATGTGGCTCTGGGTGTACGAAGCGAACTCGAAAATCATGGTAAGTGAATACAGTCAAAAGTTGTTAATTCGGACACCCATAATCCGGAATGATCTATAATCCGGACCTCAAAGCTAAAAACTTTCTGCGCATGCGCCACATTGGCACATGCGCACGGACGTTTTACGCATGCGCGTAAGACCTTGACTACTGCGCATATGCGTGTGTGCAAGTGCAGAATACGTTTTCGCCTGCGCGTTTAATGTATAACAGACGGTGTAAAGCTAAATTATCTAATTATCTATTTCAGTTAATGTTAATGTGCGTTGTTCCTTAATCTTCGAATTGGATCGCGCTTATTATTTTTTGTAGACTGTAAGAGCAATTTTTATAAAAAACTTGAACTTTCGATTATGTCAAATAGAATTTCCGATGCTGAACTTCCAAAGGATCTACAAAATGAAAGTATGTTTCAATGTCCAACAAACAAAAATGAATTGCTGCAAAAAAAATGGATAAAGACGTGAAGAATGTGACAGAGAGGTTAAGTGAAAACGAAAAATTTCGATTGACAAGTTTGTCGGTATCTCGGCACAGCAATTAACGGGACTTGAACAGCGGACTTTGTAACTGAAACGAAATTATGTCTGTTTATATAGAATTAAAGAGAAAGTATTATCACATAAAACGAAGCAACTTAAACAACTTACAACTTACATGAAAGAAATGTTTATAAAGTAAATAATATTATTATATTATTATTATTATTTTTTTTTTTGTAAATTTTGATACCCTTTAGATCATAATTGTTCTTTATTTCATAAATTACGGTTTCATATTTTTAATTTTAGAATTTCTGCATGCCATCTTACGAAATTTAAACTGATGATCGATAATCCGGAATCGCCGAAGTCCCGATGAGTCCGGATTAACGACTTCTGACTGTATTTGCTTTTGGTAGTGCTTAAATGTTTAACATGTTTTTCCTTTTTTTATGTTATTTTATTGTTTGGTTTAAAATTTATGTGTAAAATGTTTTTTATTGAGATTATGTATTTTTTGTTTGCCTATATTGTAGAATTTGGTGCTCCTCTGACTTTTTAAGCGAAAATATATCGATGTGTACATGATAGTAAAGGGAGTGCGCAATGCAAGTTATAAATTTATGCATTCTGGGATTTTTTTTAAAGTTAAAATAGGTCGACGTGTGCATGGATAAAGTTAAAAGAGTGCGCAATGCCATTTTTGTGCAATTCGGGGGGGGGGGTAAGTGAAAATAGGTCGACGTGTACATGGATCAAGTCATAGGAGTGCGCAATGCCATTTTTGTGCAATTCAGGCTTTTTTTTTTTTAAGTGAAAATAAGTCTATGTGTACATGGATACCGAGTTTGTGCAATTGTTTGTCTTGTTATTTTGGCTTTGTGTAGCGGCTATTTTTGCGGCAAAAATAACGAGTCAAGGAATTGCACAAAATCGGTATCCATGTACCGCCAAAAATCGCCAAGCTGTACCCTAAACTATAACTTTTACCCAGCTAAAATTATCAAGCATCTCCTTTGTTATCTAATAAATTATAGGCATTTGCCAATACTCTTTTTACCTACTGTATGTCTTACTGTCTGGGACTCAGTTACTGTCATAACTGACATCACTTCTTCTTCTGTAGGACTAAAAGTTTTGCAGTCTACCAACTCAAGCGAAGAATGATTCTATTCCGGAAATTTAACGCAGTCTGTTGAAAATTATAATAAAAAACACCCCAGATTGGTAAGTCTCTTTCTTTTCCTTTATTTAGTTCTTTATTCTCCGAATACCGACAGCTGTTGATTCCCATTGTGTAATATCACGTATGGAAGAATTATGTGGCACGTTTGCGGTATTTTGCAGAGATAATTAATTTTGATGTTCAGTCTGAGACTTTTTTTATGAACACTTAAAAGAGTTTTACCGTGCTTGCTAAGCAGATTATCGTCTCAGTTTCCATTGGGCTATTTTTTATATGATGCACGTATCGGAATGTCAAAAGTCATTTATTTATCCGAAAAATCAAAAGAACGGCTACAATCTCCCCCCCTTGCTCTTTTACTAGTTATGCTGGACTAGTTGGAATTTTCAGAATATTCGGCAATTTCCGATTATGCTGGTTATTTAAGCCAAAGAACATCTATGTACTATACATATTCTTTGGTTAAGCTTTTATTGTTAAAGGATGACTGCATGAAGCAATTTCCCGTCTTCCTGATTCAGAAATTTTCACCTTATTTTTACTTAAATTAACTTTGCTTGGGCAATATCTATTAAGGGAAAACATTTATGGCAATGAAAATTTAGAAAATGTTCAGAATTTTGATTTAAGTTAAATTACTTTTAAATATTAATATGAGTGGAAAAATAAATTTTATTTATTAATAGGTGTTAAGCGAATACAATTAATATGGCTTATTATTATTTATTTTCTATATTTTGAACTGAAATTTCATCATTAAATCTTGTAATATAGTTTAGTTCTGCATAGTTTTTTTTTACTCTCATAGTAGACTAATTCTGTAAATTTAACTATCATTTAAAATTTAAAAAAAGTTAATTGTTTTCCATGGTTTAGGTAATGCTCATTCTCTTAATAAATATTGCATTGCTCATAGTTTAAATTGCAAGTCTAAGTTTTCTTTTAAGGTTATGCAGTTGTGTATAATGTAATTAGGCAGGTGCTTATTTATTTATTTATTTATTTATTTTTTTTCTTAAAATGTGCTTGAAAAGTGCTTAAAGGTGCTTTTTTTTTTTTTTTTTTTTTTTTTTTTTTTTTTTTTTTTTTTTTTTTTTTTTTTTTTTTTTAACTAAAATGTGGCTATGAAACCTGTGAAATGTTATTCTGCTGTATGCTTCGCACATGATTCTTTGATTTTGCAGAAAAATTTTTTGTTCATCAATTTAATCATTTTCATACTGAAATATGTGATAAATGATTACTATTATTTTAATATTTCTATTGTAATACTATATTAAATTATCTTTTAATTTTAAATACCTGTGCTGCTATGTTTCTGCAAAGAAACTCGTAAATTAACATTTGTTATTATTAAAAGAATAAAAACTGTGCTATGAGAGCAAGAAGTCAAGCACGCAATAAGCTTTTGCAGTGGTCGCCTTTCCAAATAGTGACGGCCTCCTTCACTTCTTAGTTTTCAGTGAATGGCGAGACATCCGATTTTTACCTCTCAGGTGGCGGAAAGTCAGGAGGAACAATAAAGCTAAGACATAGCAAGAATTGCTGCACTTCTTTGCTGTTACTAGCTGTCATTAAAAATGAAATGTTAATTAGGATAATTTAGCACTTTCGAAGATGTTTTTGAGTTCCCTCATTGTGCAAAAGAATTCAATAAAATTTTTGTTGAGGTTAGTGTTTTTAACTGTTTTGGAATATGGTTTAGGCCAGCAGTTCTCAACCTTTTGACTAACGCGTACCATTTAAACAAAAATTGAAAACTTTTCGTATCACCACTACAAAGTACTACTATCACTACCACTCTTGCACAAATCTCAGAACGCATAAATTTATGAGTGGTCGGAAAAAAACTCAATCAGGATGTTGGGGTTTTAATTTTTGAATTTAATACACTCATGTCCATCAATTAAGGATAATTCGGAGTCATGCGGAAATCGAACTCTAAAATAAATATATCACCTGTAAAATAACTACACACGTCTTCAAGAATCATATGCAAATTTCAGGAAGTAACCAGATGACACCGATGGTACATCACAATGACGAGAGTGTAAGAGAGTGATATATAAGGAATACAGGCAAAGAAGTAAAATTGTTCACAGGCGCTTTATAAGCATTTCAGTGCAATACCGAATAGTTGTGACACAAAGGGCGCATTTGGATGATTTTTTACATGGTAGAATTATCGGCCGTCTGGAATCTGGGTGTACCCAACTGAAAGTATCAGACGAACTTGGAATTGCCCAGAGTGTCATCTCCAGGCTTCGGCAACGATTCCAAGATGATGGTAATGTGAGTAGACGTTACAGCACAGGTCGCCCCAGAGTCACAACGCCAAATGAGGACTGGTATTTGGCAGTTACTGCCAAAAGAAACAGGTGGAGCACAGCCTCAGACCTGTCTCGTCAGCTCTCTTCAGCCACTGGTACGACAATTTCAAGGCAGACCGTGTACAGATGCTTAGGGCAGATTGGTCTATATGCTCGTAGACCTGTCAGATGCGTCCCACTTACTGCAACTCACTGTCACCTGCGGATAGCCTGGATTAGAGAGCATGCATTGTGGACACTGCAACGGTGGACTTGTGTGATGTTTCCCAACGAGTCCAGGTTTAGCTTGCAGTCTGATTCTCGCCGGACTTTTATATGGAGAGCTCCAGGTACCCGTAACCACCAAGAAAACATCATTGAAAGACACCATTACGGTGGCACAGGAGTCCTCGTTTGGGGTGGAATTATTCTGGGTTCCAGAACTGACCTGCATGTTCAAATTGGAACCGTGACAAGCCAAATCTATCGGGACGTCATTCTGGAACAACATGTACATTTGTTTCGGGGCGCCATGGGCGCACAATTTGTGTGTATGGATGACAACGCCCGTCCTCACCATGCAAACATCGTAAGCGAATGCTTTCAATCGGAGGATATCACCCGTATGGACTGGCCAGCATTCTCACCGGACTTGAATCCAGTAGAGCACGTGTGGGATATGCTTGGCCGACGAGTTGCAGCCTGTCAACCTCCTCCTACGTGTCTACCGGAACTTTGGAGAGCATTGCTTTTTGAGTGGTGTAATATCCCCCAAGATCAAATCGTTAATTTGATACTCAGCATGCCTAGGCATTGTGCGGACTGTATTGCATCGTCTGGGAGACATACAATGTATTAACAATCATACCAACCATGTAATATTGTTTTTCTGTTTTTTTTTTTTTTTTCTTTTTTTGTAATTTGCTCCAGGGAAAAAAAATCGCTAATTTGTTTAATAAATATCAAACATATAGCATCTTTTTTTTGCTCTTTACCTTTTGTTTAATAAATAAGCTTTACAAATAAGTCAAATTTCTTTTGCTTCTAACTCTTCCTTTGCCTGAGTTTGCATTATCCTTAATTTATGGACATAAGTGTATTTAAAAATACTTTGCTTCTTTGCATACCACCTATTTTTCTCTTGCGTATCACCGGTTGAGAACCCCTGTTTTAGGCTTTAAGATAGGAGCAAATCTAGAGTTGTTTCTCTTAGATGTTATTTTGTTAGAGAAGGTTTTTAGTATTTTCCATTTTTGTGGCTAGCATTCTTATTATGTTAAAAATTGATAGATTTGATGAAGTTTGGGTTTTAGAAATTTTTGTCAGCCATCAGCTTGTAAAGGTAAGGCAGATAATCTGCACTGTAAAAGAAAACTTCATAGTGAGATATTCCAAATGTTTCCAATTTCTTTAATAATCTGGATTATAATTTTAAAATAAAATGTTCCAATGAGAGTTTCCATTTATTACATATGATTTTTTCTTTCTTTCTCATGTCATGAAATGGATTTTTAACAAAATTAAATCTGTCACCTGAAAGATATTTCTAACATTAAAGAAATAAGAATTAAAAATTTTATGTGAATAATTCTCATTTTAAAGTCATTCAATGTAACATTCTAATAAGTTCTCAGATGCTGCGGATGGTTTTGTATCACATTCATAGATAAAATTTCAAGGCCAGTCCTTACGCTTGTAAAGTTTATCAATGCCTTACTCATTTTCAATTTTTCTTTGTGCCGTTGCTGTGTCATTGAAGCTTTACTTGTTCTTCCAGTTCAGATTCTTTGATTATGCTATCACTACCTGCCTATAGAAAACCCTTCTAATGTTAAAGATCATTGCAGCATGAGGTTTCTGGCATATATGCATCTGCATGATGCAGCTGGAACTTGAGTTCTATGACTAAATTACGTTTCCAATCCTCTACAGTTCAGCAGTCGTCATGTTTTACAAATTATGCCTGATTCATTGTTTGGCAATTAGCAGCATAAACAAATGTGGATATTAACTTACAGTGGTGGCCGAAATTGCGGACACTTTGGGAAATTTTTATGTTTTTGAACTTTGTATGCTTATAGAAAATGTTACGTTTCACAAAATGCAAACTTGTATATATCATTTTAAAGAGAATTTATTACCGAATTCAGTACAAAACACAAAATTCAATTATTTGCAATACAAAAAGAGTTAAATGATAATAGTTATCTAATGATTGCAGTGAGTTATCAGTACTTAGTAGGGTACCCTTTATTTTTGATTACAGCTTCACATCGATGTTTCATTGAGCTGACAAGAGTTTTAAGCTCTTCTTTCATTATTACATGATGCCAGGAAACAATTATAGCCTCAATTAGTTCCCTTTTATTTGATGGGCGCCTCATTCGGACAAGAGTTTTCAAACGGTGCCACAAATTTTCGATAGGATTGAGGTCAGGACTGTTTCCTGGCCATGACAACAATTTAATGCTCTTTGTACGAAACCACTCTTTCGATATTTTTGCCATGTGGCAAGGAGCAGAACCCTGCTGAAAAATAAACGAAGCATTATTGGGAAAGAGGTCTCTGATGGAAGGTAGAAGTTTTGGTTCTAGAATAGTGTCAATGTATTTTCTGCATAGACTCCAACTACTATGGATTCTCCGTAGTTTCTACGGAAATTCATGAAAAACTACGAGCTACGAAAAGAATGGAAAAAACTACGGATTTTACAGAAACAAGAGCAGGAGAAC